ACTTGGGGAGATCTTCTTGTCCTTTGCCTCTCTAGTACTGGTGATACAGGGGAATGAAATGCCCAGCCTACTATGTTCGGTAGAGTTCATGTTCTCTAAAATCAAAGAATGAATTTTAGGAAAAATGGAAGTTAAGAACAGAATATATGTATTAAGAGAAAGAAAGCCTCTGTCTGAGAGAAACAGAAGGGGAAGTAGGTTACCAGGGACTCTGTCTTTTCTAGGAACTTTTATAGAGTAAAATCATGAAATGAGATGGTTTAAGGTGGGGAAACTGGGAACTCGCAAGGCAGAGGGGTATAAGGTGGGACAGAACTACGCTTAGCCAATAAAATGAACTGTTCAGGTAAAATTGATTACATTAGGGACAAGTGAGGAAGTGAGTCATGCTGGTATTCATAGAGGAGTGAAAAAAAAAAAGATTGGTTGGGGATTTGAGATTGCATTTAGGGGCTGGGGAGTTAGCTCAGTGGCCTAAGTGTCTGCCTGGCAAGTGTGAGGCCCTAGGGATCCCCAGTACCAAAAAGAAAAAAAAATTGTAAGATTAGAGAGCAATGACTCTTCCCTAGGGAGTTAGGATAGTGACTCCTAACTTCCTCAGGATGATAAGGAACTATTTAGAATAACAGTCCTTAGGATATGGATGAGTTTGTTTGATCTTGTCTTGAGGACTGGTCCACAGCAGGAGGTGTCTGTCTGTCTCCCCCACAGTTGCAAGGTATCTGGGCTTCTGCACTGGCTCCTTTGAGGTCCTAGCCCTGTCTCACTGCCTATAATATTTCTAACTAACTCAGCAGCATATAACACTGGGTTTAGCAAATCTGGCTTTAAAAAAATCATTATTGAGGCTGGGCATGGGACCTGTAATCCCAGTACTGGGGATGGGAGGCTGAGCAGGAGGATCATTGCAAATTTGAGACCAGCCTGGGCTACAAAGTGAGTTCAAGGCCAGCATAACAAGACCCTGTTTCAAAAAGACGAAAAAAAAATTTTTCGGGTGTGGGGGGGCTGGAGGTTTAGCTCAGCGGCATAAGCACCTGCCTTGCAAGCAGGCAGTTGTGAGTTGGATCCCCAGTACCGATAAAAAGGAAAAAGACCAAAAAAAAAAAATTTTTTTTTATTGAGGGCTAGAGGTATCACTCAGTATATGTGCCTGCCCAGCAACCAGCAACTCAAGGTCCTGAGTTTGATTCTTGGTACAAAACAAAACAAAGCAAAAAAACCCCAAAAAACAAAAAACCATTATTGAGTCCTTGACTATATCTGCCAAGGACTCTGTGTGACAGTAAGAATATATATATATAGTCTTTTTTATTTTTATCATCCCCAGCCCCAGACAGTAAGAATATTTGATAAGACAGGTCTGTTTTTACCCTCATGAAGTTCTCTTGGTACTAAGAGAAACACTAATCCTTCATTACATGAATCCATTATGAACTTCAACAATTCACAAATCTAGTTTCCTGGTACCATCTAGTGCTTTGCCTAGCTACCCACAGTACCACACCCTTAGGACCAAGATGGATTCAGTGCCAACATGACATCTAGTGCTATCAGAGTATGTTAAGCAATCTGTCATAATGAACAACAGTAGGTCACAGGCCTGTGGTGCAGCTCAGAAATAAGGCATTTTGCCGGGGACTTAGCTCAACAGCATAAGTGCCTGCCTGGCTAGTACTGCAATGTCATGAATTTGATCCCCAGTACCAAAAAAAAAAAAGGAATAAAATGTTTCTGAGCATAAATGAGGCCCTGAGTTCAATCCATAGGAACCCTCAGCTAAGATAAAAAAATTAGCTGGTCACAGTGGTATGTGCTTGTGATTCCAACACTCAGGGAAACTGAGGCAGGAAGATCATAAGTGTGAGTCCCACCTTGGCAACATATGGAGACTCTGCCTCAAAATTTAAAAAATAAATAAATAAAAAGGCCTGGGGATGGACCAGGGATTTAGCTCAGCAGCGTTAAGTGTCTGCCTGGCAAGTGTGAGGTCGTGAGTTCGATTCCTGATACCAAAAAAAAAAAGGCCTGGGACGTAGCTCAGTGGTACTATTCCCCTGGGTTTGACCCCTTGTACTGAAAACAAAAAGAAATTAAAATAGTTTACCCAAAATAGTCTTCAGACTGACATTTTCCAGGATCACTGGTGTGTGACCTTCATGAAAATCAAGAGTTTTTGACCCAGTGGTGGTGCACATCTGCAGCACCAACTCTCTGGGAGTTGAGATAGATAATTAAAAGTCCCAGTCCACCCTGGGCAACTTCATGGCTTAGTGAGATCCTACCTCAGAACAAAAAAGAAAACAAAACAAAAGGGCTGGGGATATAGCTCAGCTCAGCAGCATGGTACCTATCAGGTAAGCATGAAGTCCTGAGTTCAATTCCCAGCACACACACACACACATACACACACACACACACACACAAAGAGCCAAGGATGTAACTCAGTGCAAAGGCCTTGTGTTCAGTCCTCAGTACTGGAAAAAAAAATGTGGTTTTCAGTAGTTGAATTTTGTTTTGAATTCGTTCCCTCATCCCTTGCAGTCCTTGTCCTGTTTTCTTTTTCTTTCTTTCTTTCTTTCTTTTTTTTTTTGTTCTGTTTTCCTATGAGGAAGGAAAGGCAGTTGAGAGTACCTGATACCCCTCTGAACAGGCTTTGGCCCAAACTGGGCCGCTGTCCTTGGCCACCCTCCAAGGGCACAGCAGGCCGCAGGTAAAGGCCAGGCCAGGTGAGGGCCTGGCAGGTATACATTCTGGGGCCTCAGGAGGAAGCTGACAAGACTGCCCATCACCTGAGGACTTCTTACCTTTTCTGCAGAAATAGGACTGGCTGTACCGGTACCGCTGCTCCCGCACCCTTTGCTTTCCTTTCATAGTGAGGAGAACTGTTTCCCCTTACTGAGGAGTAATTGGGCATCAAGAGTTAAGGAGGAAGCAGAAAGATTGAGACAGGTCCTGGCTGGGTGGAATGGGCTGGAGTGTCGGCCAAGTTGTCTCAGAGGGAAAAGGAACCTGAACCAGCAGCACTGAGTGGGAGACAGAGGCCAGGCCAGAGGCCCTGAGATCCTCACTGTGTTTCAGAAGCTGCTGGGTGAAGAATGTTGGAGCCCTGGCCCCTTCTTATACTCTGGTTAAAATTCCTGGGCAAAGAAACAGCTCAGATCACAAAGCAAGTACTGGAACTCTTCCATGCTGCAAGGCTGTTTCCGGTCTGTCTTCAGTGCCAGTGAATACCAGAAAGTTTCCTTTTCAGGAGTTCAAAATTCAAAGCAGCAGAGAGGTGAAAGGAGAGCAAACAAAGGAAAGGGGTAGGCACTCCCGCAAATCATCCCCAGGGAGGGGGAGGTAGCTGAAGCCGGGTGTGGAGCGTCCTTGCAGGAAAGGGAGACTTTTTAGGGGTGGGAGGGAGAAGGGAAACAGCCTAGGGGACCAGAAAGTAAACTACTCTAACAGCTTCAGGAAGGGTGGGGTCAGCCTGAGTTGCTTCTGAAGCAAGGAAATACAAATGTGGTTCATACCCTTGTAATCCCCGTGAGGCTGAGCAGGAGGAATACAAACTGGAGCCAGTTTGGGAACAATTCTGTCTCAGAATATTTATATATGATATATGTATGTTTAGTTTTGGAGACAGGGTCTCACTCTATGTAGTTCAGTCTGGTCTTGAAATCACTATGTAGCCTGGAATTTGTCGCAATCCTGCCTCAGCCTCCTAATTGCTGAGATTATAGGTATGGGCAACCATGCTCAGTTTTTGACTCAAAAAAATTTTTTAAGGGGATGGGGGAGTAGCTCAGTGGGAATGTCCTAGGTTCAATCCTCACCACAGCAGGGAAAACCCCAAGATTTTTTTTTTTTTGTCTTTTTCATTTTTATTGGTACTAGGGATCAAATTCAGGACTGCCTGCTTGCAAGGCAGGTGCTTATGCCGCTGAGCTAAACCCCCAGCCCCATCCCCAAGATTTTAAAATTAGTTTTTAATTGACACATGGTATTTGTATGTATTCACAGGGGTAGACTGCACTATAATAGCCACATCTGGGTAATTACATTTCTGTCTCCTCAAGCAGTGATCATTTCTCCTCAAGCAGTGATCATTTCTCCTCAAGCAGTGATCAGTTGAGACCTTTGGACTTTTCTATTTATTTTGAAATACATGATAAACTGTTGGAAGACAGCTTAGGCTATATAGTGAGTTCAAGGTCAGCCTAAAAACTACATACTGAGAAAAAGCCAGACTCTAGTTACCCTATACAACACCAGAGCTGACTGCTTCTATGTGTTGATCCCCATGACTTTACCTTACCTACCTCTCTACCTTTCCTTTCTTCCCCCCTTCTACTGAGCATCATGCTATCCTCTGCTTCTAAGAGATCAACTTTGTCTGCTTCCAAAAATGAGAAACTATTATGTTGTCTTTCAGTGCCTGATATATTTCTTCTTCTTCTTTTTTTTTTTTTTTTTTGTCTTTTTCCTTTTTATCGGTACCGGGGATCGAACTCACGACTGCCTGCAGGTGCTTATGCAGCTGAGTTAAATCCCCAGCCCCTAGCTAATCCCCTGATATATTTCATTTAATATGATATCCTCCAGTTCCATTCATGTTGCCACAAAAGACAGGATGTGCTAGGCATTGTGGTGCATGCCTGTACTCAGGACACTGAGGCAGGAGAATCACTGTGAGTTTGAGACCAGCCTGGGCTACATGAGGGAGCTCAAGGCCAGCCTGAACTGCATAGTAAGACTGTTTTAAAAAAGACAGGAAAGGGGCTGGGGATTTAGCTCAGCGGCATAAGCGCTTGCCTTGAAAACAGGCAGACGTGAGTTCGATCCCTGGTACCGATAAAAACGAAAAAGACAAAAAAAAAAAAAAAAAAAAAAAGACAGAAAAAAAAGAAAGAAAGAAAAGTAAAGTAAACCAACACCCCCCCCCCCAATAAGGACAGGACATGATCTTTTTTGTAGCTGAAGAATATTCTATTGTATATATGAGCTACATTTTCTTCATCCACTCTGTCATCAGTGGATACCTTGGTTGATTCTATTTCTTGGCTGTTGTGTGTGGTATTGCAGAACACATCAGTGTACAATGTTTCTGAGATACTAGTCTCTTTTCCTGGGATAGGCGCTCCAGAGCAGAACTGCTGGACCATATGGGAGTTTTATTTTAAGTTTCTTTTGGGAATCTCCTTGCTGTTTTCCATAATGGCTATATTCACTTAGGAGAGCTCCCCTTTCTCCACATCTTCACCAGCACTTTGTGTTATTCTTTGTCTTTTCTTATAATAGTCATGTAACTGGAAGGAGATGAGATGATAGTTCACTGTGGGTTGTTTCTTGTTGTTGTTGTTCCAGGGATCAAACTCATGTTTGCCAGGCAGGTGCTGTGCCCCTGAGCCATATTCCCGGCCAGTTCACTGTGGTTTTGATTTGCATTTCCCTGATAGTTAGTGATAGGAGCTGAAATGAAAAGGGATAAGAAGACAAATTTAAGAGTTTCTGTAATCCCACTCACTTATACCCCACCCATGTAATCTCCCTACTTAAACAAAAATGGGCTTGTTGTTTTACCATCCCTTTATAAAATACCAGAAGAAGGCACGGTTTGTTTTCATTTTATTTAATTAATTCACCAGTTCATTCAACAAATATTTTTATTACACCTCCTTCTCCTTTTAGCAGTACTGAGGATTGAATCCAGGGCTTTCACATTTAGCTACATCCTCAGACCTTTTTAAATTTTTATTTTGAGACAGTGAGTTCAAGCCACTAAATAGCCCAGGCAAGAGAATCCCTATGAGTTTGAGGCCAATCTGGGTTGCATAGTGAGTTCAAGCCATTAAATAGCCCAAGCTGGAATTAAACTTGTGAACCTCCTGCCTCCATCTTTCAGAGTGCTGGGCTTACAGGAATCTACCACTGTGCCTGACATGAACCTTCCTTTTATTTTTATTTATTTTTGAGGTAGGGTCTCATTATGTGGTTCTCCTGCCTCAGCCTTGCCAGTGCTGAGATTATAGGCATGTGCCACCATGCTTGGTGGCACACCAAACCACTTTTTATATCAATAATTCTAGAATGTTTTCAATTAGCAGGCCCCTTCAGGGGAAGCAATAGATCCTTTATTAAAAATCTGATCTAAAAAAAAAATATGATCTAGTAACTGTGATGGTACATGCCCTGTAATCCCAGCACTTGAGAGGCTGAGGCAATCTTGTTTGAAAGAAAAAAAGTATGGTCTACCCATGTGCCTCCCAGACTTTTTCACGTCATGGTCCATGGCATTCTGTGGGCATGCCCCATACAGCTGAAACCCTCATCAGGGCACACATCATCTTGGAAGCCTCACCACAGAGGAAAAGAACAAAACACAACTGTCTAGAATTGATAGATGGAGATCATGGCCATCAGTTACACAATGATGAGATAAAATATGCTGACATACTGTGGACACATTTTAAATTTGTGCCCAAAGAAAAAACAGACATTTTAATATGATGCTCTTATCTCTCTCACCAGCATCATTCCTATCAAGCTCTGGCCTGCTTGCCACACCTAGACAAGGTTTGAAGAGCCCTTGGCCTACACAACCTGCTCTGGAACCATGGGATGCTGCTGGTCTTTCCATGTCTTTTCTAGCCTGGAGGTTATGTGGATTCACTGTCATTATTATAATAATCATAATAACATAATCCCCTGCCAGGGATGATGGTATGCCTGTAATCCCAACACTTGGGAGGCTGAGGCAGGAAAAGGTTAAATTGAGGCATGGCCTGGCAATTTAGTGACTTAATGAGACCCTGTCTCAAAATTTAAACAAATTTAAAAAGGGATGGGGATGTAGCTTAGCGCAAAGGCTCTGGTTTCAAATCTCAGCACCCATCAATCACCCACTTGCACTTAAAAAGCAATGTATATAGAGTCAGAGCTTCCACCTCTATGGCACTCTTCCACCTCTATGGCTCCAGTATGGCCCTGCTCTTGAAGAAGAATGAGTCGGGCCCTAAGGGAGAAGGCTTTAGGGTCTCAGATTCCAGATTCCAATTCCAGTTCCATCGCAGGACATGTAGGGAATTCCTCTCCTTTCCTGATGAGAGACGATTGTGGGGGAAGATTGAGGTTATATAACATCACAGAGTTTATACATACATTCAGTTGGAACTCATTCTCTCTCTCCCTCTCATCCCTCTTTTGTGGTACAGGGGATTGAACCCATGGCCTATAATGGAGTTATAGCCCCAACTTAATAAATTGCCCAGGCTATGCCTGCAATCCCACCACTTAGGAAGCTGAGGCAAGAGAATCACTATGAGTTTGAGGCCAATCTGGGTTACATAGTGAGTTCAAGGCCAGTCTGAACTACATAGTGAGACCTTGTCTCAAAAAACCAAAAATAGGGCCAGGGATTTAGTTCAGTGGCATAAGGGCCTGCCTGTCAAATGCGTGAGGTCATGAATTCAGTCCCAGGTACACAAATAAATAAATAAATGACTGAGGACATATCTGTGTGCAAACAAAGGCCCTGTGTTTAATCCCCAGTATTTGCAAAATAAAAGCTCCCAGAACCTTCATGGTCATGAAGGAGGTGGGGTTGGGAAGGGCCTTAAGCATAATGAGTTCATCATCTCCTACAGGTTACATTTTTCATGAGTTAACAACCAGGATGGCACAGTAGATTGCAAGTAGTGTGGGCTTTGAAGCTGGACTTGAGCCCGATGTCTTCCTTTACTGTCTGTGTGACCTTGGCAAGTCTTTTGCCCACTGAAGACATAGGCTAAACTAAGCTTCTTCATCCATAAGACAGAAGAACACCACCTGTCCCACCAACCTATTAGGTTGTAAATAATCCGCTAGCCTGGAGCTTGGTATGGAACAGTGGCTCAGTATGTAAGGTTTCCTGGGACCCTAGAAAGACCATAAGGAAGAGCTACTTCCGGGAGCTTCAAAGTGGGTGCATTCATCTTTAGTCACCTTTTCATCCACAGACTCCCTTTCTTCCTTTTGTTCTTTTTCTATCTGGGCACTTGCTGTGGACACACACTGATCTAGCAGTGAATATATTGTAGTGAATGAAACGGACAAAGCTTGTATAGGCATTCTAGTGGAGAGAGAAGACAAATCACTAAGTAACATATAGTAGATGGCAGCAAGTTCTAGGGAGAAAAATTAACAAAAAAAGAAAGAAGATTACAGGGGTAAGATGGAGACTACAATTATAGATAAGGTGCTCAAGGAAGGCTCTGCTTGGATGACATTTCAGCAAAGACCTAAAGAAGATTAGGAAGAATGGTTGTCATTTAGGGGAAGAATATTTCAGGTTGCAGGAGTAGCAAGTGCAAAGGCCTAGAGGTAGGAGCATGTTTGGTTTCCTTGAGGACCAGCAAGAAGGCCACTGTGACTAGAAAGGAATGAGGGATGAGGGTAGAACAGCTTGTTATGGTTTACATCTACAGGTTCTCCCAAAGCCTCATGCACTCATAGGCAGAACTTTGGGGAGGTGATCGGATCATAGGTGTGTGATACTCAGTGAGTTATTCCACTGATGAGTTTAGAGCTGAATTTAATTTTGGGAGGTAGTATGGCTCTCAGGGAGGTGGGGCACTGGGGGCTTGGCCCAGAAGGGTCTATTTCATTCTCCCTCCTCTTGATGCCTGCTGTTTTCTGACTGCCATTTATGGACTACTTTTTCTCTGTGATGTCTTCTGGTACGCTACCCTGCCTTGTAGTCAACTGACTAGGGACTGAAACCTCTCAAACTGTGAGCCAAAATAAGACTTTCTTCTTTAACTTTGTGACTGTCGGTATTTTTGTCCCACCAACAAGAAAGTGACTAAGACACAGCTCCTACTGGGACATGGAAGCCTGTGATGGCTTTGGCTTTTGGAGGCCAGTATGGGTTGACAGATGGAGGCCAGTTGGGAAGTGCCGGGAAGAATCTAGGTAAGTGATGGTGGTGAGCAGATAGAGCAAAGATCCTGGATATTTTGTGATGGTGGCACCAACAGGATTTGTTAATAAGTGGATGTGAGGGTTAGTGAAAGAGAAGGCTTCACAAGGATCACAGTCATAGGACTTGGTTTGAGTAGGAAAAGATGTAGGGGTACCTTAATTTATGAACTTGATTCTTTTTACAATTCTGGTTGCAAACCATGTTGGATTCTGGTTGCAAATTCGGTGGTTAGGTTCAATGTTGACTGTATTTGATTCAGTTCTTACCCAGTTTGGTTTGGGACCAGCACTGTGAAGAGAACTGAGTTCCTGAATAAAGATGCCAATATTTGATGGCTTTTAAACATGAGACTTTTTTTTTTGTTTTTGAGACAGAGTCTTGCTATGTAGTTCAGGCTGGCCTTGAATTTGTAGGAGTTCTCCTGACTCAGCCTCCCAAGTGCTGGGATTGCAGGTGTGAAAACTCATTTGTTTCAGTTTAGTAGTTGCTGTTTACTGAGATGAGGAAAGCTGTATAAAGACACACTGAGATTTATTTTATTATAAGGAGAAGGTATCTGATGTTCATTTTGGGTCATGATGAGATGCAGCTGTTATGTGGCTGGCCATCAGTGACAAGGACCCGTAGAAGAAACATCTTTTAAGAGTCAGAAGAAGCTGAGTGTGATCTATAGTCTCAGTTACTTGAAAGACTGAGGCAGGAGGATTACAAATTCGAGGCCAACTTGGCAAGACTGTGTCAAAATAAAAAAACATAAAAAGCTGAATGAGGGGGGCTATAGCTCAATAGAAGGCCCTGGGTTCACTTCCCAGTACTGGAAAAAAAGAAAGCAAGGAAGAAAGAAGGAAAAATGCAATCAGCAGAGAATAGAAATGCTAGTTACAATTCTGAGCCTGGATGAGATCACCAAAGGATTAAGGTTTAGATAAAGAGCAAAAGGCCCAAGGCCTCTTTCGCAGCTCCAGATCAGGAAGGTGAAGCAGCAAAGGAGAGGCAGGAAGCCAGAGCTGGAACACAAAGGCTTGACCAGGGCAGCTACCTGAGTGAGAGAGAGCTCGCTAACTGTAGTGATGAAGAGTTTCCAAGCTCTCAGACTCCTTGAGGTTTGGAGTGTGTGTGTGTGTGTGTGTGTGTGTACATGCATGCACACATGTGCTGGGAGCAGAGTGGGCACAACAACACTTTACACATGACTAGCTTTGTGGATCCTGTGACATGTCCTACTGAAATAAGGACAGGGAGTGCAGTTTCCTCATCTTGTTTGGAGATGAGGAAACTGAGGTATAGAGGCTTGGTGACCTGACTAAGATCAGGATCAGGCAGCTTGGGACTGGAGCATTTACTGTGTGTTGGAGCATTTACTGACTCATGCTGCACACATCCCTGTGTGTCCACTGACTGCGTCTCTGGGTACACACTGTGACAAGGTTACCAGAGATGACTTGAAATGAGTTTTAAGATTTTATTCCCACAGAAGCAAAGAAATTACTGATAGAATTCTTTCAGGAGGAGTCTGGACCTGTAGGTCAGATGAGAATGTACCAGTTGAAATGAACTGCTTTTACTGGGCATGGTGGTGCATACCTGTAAGTCATTGGGAGGCTGAGGCAGGAGGACTTCTGTAGGTTTGCAGCCAGCCTGAACTATGTAGCAAGACCCTGTCTCAAAAACAAACAAACTATAAAAAACTACACTCACAATGAGAAACCAACCAATGAAACTAGAAGCCATTTGTGGGGGATTTTCTTATTAGGTGGGGACAGCAATAAATCCACTTTGGTTCCAGAGTCCTGAGAGTTAACAGTTAACCTCAGAGACAGAGTTGTTTCAGGGCTGGGCTCTCCCACCCGCACCACCAAATGATCGGTTTCATTTTACTCCTTCAAGTCTTGCTTGAAGCATTATGTTTTCTCTGAGCTTCTTGTCTTGCCTTGGAGAAGCAGATTCTGGGATCAGAGGCCCCATGGGTTAAGCTTGGCCCTGCCCTGGGCAGAGATAAACAGGCCCAGAATCCATTTCTCAGATTGCAACAGCCGTGAGTCAGGCAGGGTCGGACAGCCGGTCCCTCCCAAGCACCCCTTGGTTGCACCTGATAAGGAAGAATCACTCATTCCAGCTCTGTCTTGGGAGCACACACACATAAACAGACACTCCCAAGCCCGAGTCATCTGAGAGTCAATTATTGACCTTCCAAATGGCCAGCACACTGGGAAGAGAGAGCAAACCTACCTCTGTTCAAGAGGAGCTCCAGTTTTTTTAGAGAAACCCAGGGCTATCCTTGGGCTTTACTCTGGGACTCACCTTTTGAACCTTCAGTCAAGGGTAGTCTCAGGGGTCCTCTGCAGCTCTGGAGAGAGGATGGAAGGATTACAACATGGGCTGGAGGTGGTCAGAATAGTGAGGTGAGTTATGAGGGAACAAATGATAAAAGGCCCATAGAGAAAAGATGTATCATGAAAATGCAAATGTGGCTTCATCCAAAATAAAGGAACTGTAGCTAGAACATCTTCAAAAAAAATAAAACAACCCCCCTAAAAGTGAATGCTCTTCCCCTTAACAATATACAGTGTATGAGGAGGGGCAAATGGAGTGTTGATAGCCTAGTAATAGTCACACAATAATAATACCAGCACCAGTGCCATATTGTACCTTGTAATCAACACTTCACATTAATTTTATGAACGTAGTTCATAGTTCACAGGGGGCTTTTACATTCATCTTGTCCATTTACCCCATTAGCCCACTCAAATGGTAAGGCATTAGGAGGCCCATTTTATAGACAAGAAGACTGAGTGAGGCCCAGGAAGGATATGTGCAATTAACTGAGGTATAATTAGGAGTAGGGAGGGGCAGATTTGTCCTAAGCAGCCCACAGTTAAGAGACACTTGTCTTTAGGATTCCTTTTCCATGACCGTTCGAGGACTGAATCTCCTCTGTATTTCTAGGTAGAGCAGTCATATTCTCTCCAGTGCTGCCTGTAAGTTTCTATAACTATATTCTTCGGGGGCTGAGGGATATAACTCAGTGGCACAAGTGCCTGCCTGGCAAGCACAAGGTTGTGAGTTCACCTTTCTGATTTTTTTTTTTTCTTTCAGTAAACTGGGAGTTGGAATCTAGAGCCTCAAGCATGTGAGCTGAGTGCTGTACCACAGAGCTATCTCTTCAGATATGGGGGATTGAACCCCAGGCCTTCACACTAAAGTGCATCCTCAGGCCTTTAAATTAATTAATTAATTTCATAGGGGCTGGGGATTTAGCTCAGGGGCATAAGCGCCTGCCTTGCAAGTGTGAGGTCCTGAGTTTCATCTCTGGTACCAAAGAAAAAAAATTAATTTTACAGGGCTTTTACACTAAGCTACATCCCCAACCCTTTTCTACTTTTTTTTTTGGTACTGGGAATTGAACTCACAATCTCGCGCTTACCAGGCAGGTGCTGTGCTGCTGAGCCATATCCCTGGCTCTCCTTTTTACATTTTATTTTGGACAAGGGTTTCACTAAGTTACTAAATTGCTCCTACCTTGGCCTCCCAGAGTGCTGGGATTACAGATTTGTCCCCATGCCTTGCTTCCATAATTGTGTTGAGACAGAGTCTGACTAAATTGCCCAGACTAGTTTTTTTTTCCCCCACAGGGTCTTGCTATGCAGTTCAGGTTGGCCTTGAGCTCACTTTGTAGCACATGCAGGTCTCGAACTCACAAAAATCCTCTTGCCTCAGCCTCCTGAGTGCTGGGATTACAGGTGTGTGCAACCATACCAGGTTCTCAGGCTGGTTTTTAATTAGTAATCCTCTTACTATAGTCTCCTGAATAGCTAAGTCCTCTGGTTATAGAGTGAAGCAAAAGGGGAAGTTTCTAGACCCCACCCCAAACCCTTTTTCCTTAAACAAATGCCCCTGTCTTCACCCCTTCTTTCTGTCTGCCCTGTGATTCTAGAGACCATTTTGGGCCTTCTCTATTAGTTGCTGTTCCTCTCAGATATGTGCATGCTTTGGCAAGGATGGAGGGCAGGAAGGCCCTGCCTTACTGGCACAGGAGGGTCTGGTGCTTGGAACTCACCTGGGGTGCTCAGGCAGGTGTTCTGAAAGCCTGAGGCCTAGTGGAATCTTAAATGCAGTGGTTCTTAAACTTTGGTCTACAATAGAACCATCTGGAGAGATTGTTAAATGCAGAGATATCTAGGCCCCAGGCTTTCTGAATCTGAACTCCCAGGATAGGTGCCTGGTCCTTGTACTTTAATAAGCTCTCCAGGTGATTCTGAAGTACACCTGAACTTGAGAACCTAGCCTTTGCCTGGGAGTGGGAGTTTGCCTAGGAACAGAAGTTTATCAGGTGAGGAAAGGTGGGGAGCCATTCTGGGAGATGACTAACAACAATAGAAGCCCAGCGAGCCTAGAAGAGACACAGCAAACATGAAAAATGTCTGCACCATCTTTATCTTTCTTTAACAAATTGTCAAGTAAAGGGGGTTATAAGTCTTTTTTACTTAGACCTATTCTACATCTGTCAGATTTGCTACATGTAATAGGAAAGAGCAATAAACTCCTTTTAAAAGCAGTTGAAATAGACCATCTTTTTCAGAATACAGCATAGAGGTTACCAAGGCCTGAGATATGGGGGAAGGAGAATGAGAAGTTATTATTTAAGGGATAGATTTCTGCTTGGATTGATGAAAATCTGGAAATGGATAATAGTAATAAATGTATAGCAGTAAGTGTATTTAATGCAATTGTACTGTATACTTAAGTATGATTAAAATGGTAAATTTCTTATTATACATATGTTACAATTTAAAAAATAAATGGTCTTTTAAGGCATAGACTTATAGGTGCAAATGTTTTAGCTAATTGCTGCTACCCAGGTGTATATGGTAGGGGTGAGATTGGGAGTAGGTTACAGAGAGGCACCAAGTCATAGCAGCTGGCCTGACAAAGTACAGTACAAGCCTATTCATGGAAACAAGGGTATAGGGTAACTTTGGAAAATAGATGTAGTGAGGATCTCACATAATATAGGAAACACTATTTTTCCTTCTCCCTTTGGTCAGATGGTTCCTGGGTTCAGTATCACTTCTTTAAACTTCATTGTGCATAGATATCACCTGGAGACCTTGTTCAACTGCAATTTCTAACTTAGGTCCTTAGTAGGTCAGGAGGTGCTGATGCTATAGACCTGTGTAGGAGGTTGTGTAAATTTAATCAACTCTAGTTCTTGAAATAGTGGCCCTGTCAGTGTAAAGAATAATGAACTGGGTTTGCAAGGTCCAAGGAAACCACATTGAAGTCTACAGTATCTGAAAATAAATTGTCTCCATCTAAGGAGAGACCAGAGTATAGGGAACCTGCTGTTATGAGAGTTTCCAGATTTTGGCACCTAAGTAATTGCTACGTTGGCTTCCTTCAAATCCAGCCTTTTTAACTGGATGTGAAGAGGTTCATAAAACATATGAAGGTGACAATGTTATTATTTACTACCATTGCTTATGACGATGGTAACGACACTGGCAGTTGAGCGATGAAGTGTTAGGAAAGTTGGGGGAGGGGGCAGAGAGCTGTGAGACGGCAGAAGGAAGAGAAACTACATCACCCAGAATGCCTCGCGAAAGCACACGCCAAGACGGCGTCCCACCCCTTGGGCTGCCCAGGCCCGCCCACATGATGACGTCACAAAGGTGATGTCACGGCGCCCAGAGCGAGGCTAGGGTAGAGAGGCCGACGACAGTGCAAGAGTCGTCCGCTTGTGGTGGAGGCTGCTGGGAACCCGCGAGAGGGTGAGCGGGCGAGCAGGCGAGCAGGCGAGCAGACTAGCAGACGAGCGAGATAGAGCAGGCTGTAGGGAGCGTCGCGGAGCTCCGAGGGACGCCGGGCCGGGCCGCGGCCGATTCAGCCCAAGAGGGCTGCCCGAGCTGGGTGCTGGGGGTCCCCACCCCCACCCAGCCGGACAGTGCCTGGTGTTTCCCAGTGCGGGAGTCGGCAGCGGCGGCTGACGGGACCCGACGGAACCGCGGCCGTGTTGACACCTCCCCGAGGAGCCGGCGCGGCCGCGGGCTCCTCAGAGCCGGGGAGCGGGGCCCGTGACAGACGGGCCGAGGAAGGGAGCGAGGCGGCGGCGGCGGCGCAGGCGACGGAGAGGCGGCATCGACGACACCATGTCATCCCCCAGTCCGGGCAAGAGGCGGATGGACACGGACGTGGTCAAGCTGTATCCTTCGTGGAGGAGGCCGTCGGGCTGTGTGTGGGGTTGGCGTGGGGGCCCAGGACGCCCCACCTCGGCACCCGAGCAAAGGGCCCCAGGGAGCTCGGGGCCACTGTCCGGGCTCTCTTTGCCTGGCGACGGCGGCTCCAGGGCACCTCCCAGGGGCTGAGGGCCTTTCCAGCTTCCCTTTATATGCAGCACCCCGAAATATGCGTTGCTCCTCGCTCTTGCTGCTCCCGAGGAGCCCGTGACTTTCCTTCACGACGTTTGGACTCCCAAGACGGCTTTCTTTCTTTCTTTTTTTGGCAGGACTACTTGCCTCCTTCACTGAGCCTGTCTTCAGGGTTTCTCTTTCCTGTTTGCTGTCTCTTGATTTAGGGACTCAGGGTAGAAATTCCTGATAGGGAATCCTTTCTTCCTTTCTTGAGACATGCCCCCCATTCCCTACACTCACAATGCTTCTTGAACTGAGGTAACTCAAGCGTCCTCCTTTATCCCTAATTCCTTTCTATATTAGGAAGAAAGTAGTCTGCTCAGGGCCCTTCTAATAAAGAGCTGTGTGTTTCAAATCAGAGATTCCTGTTAAGCTTTCTGGTTCTTGGAAGAACCTTCCTGTTTTTTACTGACAAAGCCTAACCCACCTATGGTTGTGTGCGGTGAGGACCCCCAGGCCCTCTAGCCAGCCACCCTCCATATTGTGGATCTGACAGCTGGGAGAAAGAGAAAGAAGAGCTCCCCACTCTCCTGTACTGTCCACCAAGCAGAACCCTCTCTGTGAGGGTAAGCTGCCGGGGTACTGGTCGCTGTGATCTTGCCAAGTGACACCCTTTATTTCCTGCCACCCCCTCAACTTTGTACATTCGAGGTTGCAGTGGGAAAGCTATAACTGATAAGAGCCCTTAAGGCAGTGGTTTTGGTTGGAATCCAGACTGATTATTTCATGGCCAGCTGGAGAAATTCGCGAAGGTTCCCGAGACAAATCGAGGAATTTTTTTTGGAGGGCTAATTTAGAAAGAGAGAAGCCCAGTGTTCTGAATAGCTAATCCCTAGGGAGGGGAGGGGGAAGGGAGTAGGGGGACGGTAGTGTGTGAAAGGCAGTTAAAAAGTCCTGTCTCCTGTTTCTTTCGGCCTCACCCCCATCCCCCCACCATTTCCCCCTGTTGCAGGGTTTTGTTTATATAACTCAAGTTGTTTGGCTAGATTTTTCAGGTGAATATGTTTTTTCCTTTTTTTTGTTACTGTTTTTGATGGATTGTTTTACTTTTTTGTAGGCATCGATTAGTATGATCAAGTACGGAATTTGCTAGAGTTTTTAAAAAGTAGTTTTTGCATATGGTTTGAAAGTGGGGGATGGGAGGGAAGGTGCCTGAATGAGAGATTTTTTTTTTTCATAATCTTTTCAGGAATACCAAGGTGTTTTTCTTCTTATTCAGCCAATACTTGGCTAGGAATTAGGGATAATAGATAAACTTCTAAATTTAGGGTTTGGAGTTTAGAATTTCTAGGGGATAGTGGCAGGGATTAGAGGAGAGCAAGAATAAAGTATGTGTACCAAATGTATGTCTATGCACAAGTGAAATCAATCTTTATGAGCTGTTTGTGGCTGTGATTGTTTTGTAAATGTGTGAAAGATGTCAATAATGTTGATTTTTTTATAAGGAAAACTTATAAATATGTATATTTTACACAAAGCAGTTTCAGGTTTTATTTTTGTTTAGAAACTAGGAAATGACATCGTGGTAGACTCTTGAGTTATTTTTGTCTTGGATTGAGAGTTACTGTCACACCTAATGCAAATTTCTACTTAATGTGTAATTGGGATAGAGTGAAGGGAGAATTCCAGCTGTTTTTGATTGATGTCAGATCTTCCAATTATGTACATATACAGATTTCTAAAAGATGGAGGATAAAGAGTGAGGCCTAACTTGACCTGATGCCTTTTCCATACAGTGCCTTTTGTTCATTTAGTAGTTGTGGCATCTAGAATGATTACCGCATTTAGGAGATGGGGGTGGGGGGTGGAGAGAGAGAGAGGAAAACAGACAAAGAACAGCAGGGTGTCTTTTTTTCCCTCCCCCTAAGTGGCTTATTTCATAGCTTATTTTTAGTAGAAGATGAAGAAAGGCAAAGATCCATTGGCCTTCTGTTCGTTCCCTACCTTCCTTCTTGCTGACAAAAGAAAACAGAGACGCTTTAAAATTGTAGATCTCTAAGATAGGAGGTTAAGAGTTTCAGGATTTAAGACAGGTTATCTTTTTTCATGTTTATTATTTCCTGGTCAGATGTAGTTCAGCAGTTAAAAATTTTCAGATTTCCTTTTGTTGTGTGTGTATGTGTTGTGTCGTGGGGATGAGAGATTTTTGTGGCCTCCTTTTTCTGTGGAATTCATATCAGGAGGCCCAAGTGGGGCCCACACATTTTAAGTGAGGTATATTTTGTAAGAAATTTAAGAGAAAATTCCCTAACCCACTACTAGAATGAGTACAATTGTGTGAAAGGACCGAGGGTTGAAAATGAAAGATGGTGGAGAGGAAGTAGAAAGGAAGGTCTGAAGGAATGTACAGTACTTCTTGTCCCTCGTTGCCCCTGATGATTTTCGTGGTGTGGAGGCTGATAGCCGGTTTCATTGCAGTCTCCTGTTTCAGCCCATTTTTGGCTGTCTCCTGAGTATAATTATACCACCACGATTTACAGCTTGGCAGGGAACCCATATAGTAGGAAAGTAGCGGTGTGGGGGTAGGGAGAGAAGAGGATGTGCAACTAATTGGCCACTGCCTTCCACCACCTTGCTAGGTTCCTCCCAGCACTGTCTGTGGTTGTTGTTTGGAGTCAGTGATATTTCTTTTGTGACCGGTTGGTAGGAGGAGAGCTGACTCCCAAGTTATGCAGGGAGTGAGTGTTTTGCACTGATGCACTTAATAATCTGCTGGGCGATTATGTTCTGAAACTGTGACTCACTCATTGTTTCTCTTCTAAATCTTCTGTTGAGGGTTGTGCAAACCTCCCCAGGAGCCTAGAAACTGATTTACATGACTTTTGGGTGCTGTAGGAATGTGTCCCAATTTAAAAAAACCCCAAAACAAACACTGTGGAATAGTCTTGGATAGTGTGGCCATTTGTTTGCAGAGTCAGGTAAATGGTGATCCTGTGTCGCTCCCAGCACAGCAACCTTTGAGGTTTCCATCTCTAACCCGCTGATTATTGAGATTGTCTGAGAACTGGGACTCCAGTGACCTTAAAGCGTGATTTGCCCTAAAGGAATATCGGTTTAAGTTCTTCCCAGTGGAGGAACAAACAGCTCAGATTACACAGGTTCCCTTGGTGGGGGTTGCTAGTCTCACCCTGTTGCACAGCCCTGGTGATCCTTTTATCTGTGAACCAGTGGCCCCTGCTGAAGGCTAGAGCTGCTTGTTTTGGAAAAGCGTAAGCAGGCAAAAGGCCGCAGGCACAGCTCCTTGCAGCTCATTGGCTGCTCTGTTACTACCCGGAAAAGGAGGAGGGGTGGAGCTACTAAACAGCTGATAGAGTGTGTGACAAGAGTGTGTTTACATATAAAAGAAGTAGGGGTTGGGGAGGCCTAGAGAACAGCATTAATGGACTCAGTGGAGAAAGAAAAACTTGACCTGTTGGAGTACAATAAATGGTGAAGGAAATTAAGGTTAAAGTAGAAAAAGGGGTCTGGTAATAATGGGGCCTTGGCATATATACCGTATTTGTTATTGTAAGATTTGGAAATTTACAATACCAAGAGTTTTCAGCAATTTTTAGAGGGAGGGAGCAAGTGGAAGAACAAGACAGGATATGTCACTTTAATTGTACTTGACTGACTCATAAGCAGGGATTCAAAAGTATGGTTAAAATGTAAGCTTTCCTCTTGAAAGCTTCCACAGTGAAAGAAAGGGGTAGTGTCTTCCATTCACTAGCAATATGAGTGAATCTTATAAAATCACTGGTGGCTGCTTTACAGTTTCTGTTTGGTACTGGGGATTCAACCCAGGGCCTTCATGCTGAGCTACATCTCAGCCCTTTTTAATTTATTTTTATTTTTTATTTTGAGGCAGAGTCCCACTGAGACGCCAGGATGCTGAGGCTGGGCTCAAACTTGGAATCCCTCAAACTTGGAATCCCAGAGGGCTAGAATTAACAAGCATGTGTTACCATGCCTGGCCATGGTTTCTTTTTTTTTTAATCAGTACCAAGGATCAAACTCACGACTGCCTGCTGCAAGGCAGGTGCTTATGCCACTGAGCTAAATCCTCAGCCCCTGGCCATGGTTTCTATAACATAGTGACTGCCTCAAATATTTGATCACCTTCTGGCAAGGCACTGTATTGGGGGTCTAGTGGTGAATTCAATGTCCTGATAATTGTGGAATTAGACCAACAACAACAAACATAGGAGACTTGAGACAGGATCTCCCCATGTGACCCAGGGTGGACTTGGAACAACTGAACAAATTTTTCTTTTTAATCAGGAAAGCCATTCTGTGTTGTGTCAGATCAGCACTCTGTCCACCACCCTCCTTTTTTGAGTAGTTTGTATTTGTGTTGAGAATTGACTTTTCAATAAATGAAAGCTTAGAGGTTTGGCATGTAGCTCAGTACTAAATTGCTTGGTAGCCATCCTCAAGGCCTTGGGTTTAGTTTCCAGTCTACACATGCATGCTCACATGCACGTATATAAGAAAAAGGTTGAAAAGTGATGGGAAAGGAATTTGTATTTCTTTTATTTAAAATAACAGATATTAAGTATGCTGGCACACACCTGTAAATCCCAGGACTCCCAGCACATGGGAGGTTGAGGAATGAGGAGGATGCTGAAGCAGGAGAAAGATACTGAGACAGGAGGATTAGCAAGAGTCCAAGGCTGGTCTAGGCTAAATAGTTCAAGGCTAGCTGAACTCCATAGTGAGACCATATTTGGAAAACAGACTGTGGTGCATGCCTGTAATCCTAGCACTTAGGAGACTGAAACAAGAAGATCACTGCAAATTCAAGGCCAGCCTGAACTATAAAACAATACTGTCTCAAAAACAAAATAAGAAAAACCCAGAAACACAAAATAGGTGCTTAAAAAATGGAAACAAAAACATTAAAATGTATAGACATTTGTTTTCGATTCAGCCTTTATATTTTGCTGTTTTTTTCAGGGTTTTGCTAGGTCAAGTTAGTCTTGAAACTGTGTAGCCCAGGCTGAGGCAGTCCTGTATGCTGGGATTATGGCATGTACCTCTCAGCTGGTATCTTGCAGTTAATCAGTAGTTATTCTATGCCTGAGTTAGTAGGCTTTGTTACTCTTTAATTCATGTTCAAAGTATGGACAATTCTGTAATCTTTTAACTAGCTCCAATGTCTACTAGAAACCTGTAGTTTGCATTTTATTTCCTGTGGCCTTTCAGTGAGATGGTAAGATGAACATTGAAACAGTTTTATGATGTTCAAACTAAAAGTTAAAGATTGGACAACTTTCAGTGTTCCTAATTTGCCTTGTCCACCTAGATTTTGGTGAAAAATATACCGGTACTTATTTTGATTAGATAAGAACCTGAATGAGCAAAGCATTCACAGCTTCAGCACATCTGATTCGTGCAGTGCAGTTCTAATAAATTACAAGCCTAAAGATTAAGCTTTTAGGGGAAAACTTTTGTAAATGTGACCTATAAATGTCTCTTTTCCTAATTGTGTGCATGTGTTGAAAGAACCTACATTTGTTGGTTTTTCTTTTCTTTTTTTTGGTACGGGGAATCACAACTTTGTGGTACGAGGCAGATGCTGTGCCACTGAGTTGTCTCCCCAGACCAAGTTTTATGGTGATACAGTTTTCCTAGCATCTTGACTGGTATGTATGTATATGTGTATTTATTTTTTAAATTAAATTTGGCATCTTGTTCAGTGTCAGCATATTTGATGATTCTAAGAACCACTGGATTTTTTACGTATGTGTTATGTTTTGTTTCTAGATGTCCCCCAAAGTCTCATTTGGTCATAGGTGAGGCTTTTTCAGAGGTGGCTGAATTTAGAGTCTGTGGAATTAAGGGTGGGTGATTACTAAATCAGTCCACTGATTGTTTTTACATCACCCTAAACCTGGTAGTCTAGATAAAATATGAAAAGGGCAGAAACAAGCTGCTGAGGTCCCTTGCTTGCTTTGCCACCTTCTACTCACCATAAACTGTTTCTCCTCTGTAATGTTTATGTGCTACACCACCCTGCCTTGGAGCCAGCAAACTATGGATTGAAACCTATACAAACTTTGAGCCAAATAAACCTTTCTTCCTTTATCTTTGGGTGTAGGGTATTTTGTCTTAGTAAAGAGAAAAGTAACTACAAAAGCATGCAATTCAGATCTTATATTACAGTGCTTACAATGTAATAGCTTTCTACCTTGGATGCATAGAGTGTATGTCCTAAAATTATTTAATGAAAAGACTTAGTTGCACTGTAAAAGTAATAAGGTAATTAAGAAAAATAGAGGTTGCAAAGAGGGAAAAATAATAGTCATCTATAATCCTACCCTTTAAACAGTAGTTCTTAAACTTTAGTGACCTTAATTACTTGAAGGGTTTGTTAATACAGAGCACTGTATATCACTAGAGTTTTCTGATTCAGTAGGTTTAGAGTAGGGTTGGAAAATTTGGCTCTCATGTGCCACCACATCAGGTGTGTGTTCATTTTTTTGAGATAGGATCTCACTGTGTCATTCAGGCTACTCACTAAGTAGCCCAGGTTGCCCTTGAATTCCTGGTGACCTTCCAGCCTCAGTCCCCTGAATGTGGAGATTACAGGCATTACCAGCTGATTTGTCTTTTTTTTTTTTTTTGTCTTTTTGAGACAGGGTTTCACTATGCAATTCAGGCTGGCCTTGAACTCACTTTGTAGCCCAGGGTGGCCTTGAACTCCCAGTGATACTCCTGCCTCAACCTTATGAGTGGTGATATTACAGGTATGTACCACCATACCTGGCTGTCATTTCTTTCTTTCTTTCTGTTTTTTTTTTTTTTTTGTACTGGGAATTGAACTCAGGACCTTACCTGGCAGAAATTGTGCCACTGATCTGTATCCCTGGAGCCTGGTTGTCCTTTGTTTTTTTGTCTTTTTATCGGTACTGGGGATTGAACTCACGACTGCCTGCTTCCAAGGCAGGCGCTTATGCCGCTGAGCCCCATAATCTCTTTATTTTTTTTTTTTGAGACAGAGTTTCACTGTGCAATCCAGGGTGGTGTTGAACCTTCAGCAATCCTTCTGCCTTAGCCTCCTGAGAGCTGAGATCACAGATATGGTCTATCATGCCTGGGTTTTGCTTTTTATATATTATATATATTTTATGTTTATTTTTTATCTATCTTATTTCAAAGAGAAAAACAAGACAAAAAAGAAAAAAACCTAAAACAAAGTTTCAAAACATGTTAGGTGGCAACAATGACACATACATTGGTATGGTCATCCCTAATGTTTAATATTTTTGCAACTTTTTTTTTTTTTTTTTTTTTTTTTTTTGGGTACTGGCAATCTAACTCACAACCTTGCACTTGCCAGGCAGGCGCTTATGCCACTGAGCTAAATCCCCAGCCCCATTTTCTTTTTTTTTTTTTTTTTTTTTTTTTTTTTATTTTTTATTTAAGAGGAAAAAGAAAAACACAAAACAAACCAAAGCGGCGTAAGGGTACACGCAATACAGAACTACAAAACAAAACAAAACAAAACAAAAAACCATAACAGTAAGAAATTACCTGCTAGTAGATTACACACTATTTTCTTGAAAATAGTTCCTCAAATCACAGTATCAAAGAACACAAGGTGGACATTCAAACCCCAGCCCCATTTTCAACAGTTTTTCCTACTTAAAAGTATTAGACATAAGGTTTAGCTCAGTGGCATAAAGGCCTGTTTGGCATGCACAGGGTCATGAGTTTGATACCTAGTACCAAACAAAACAAAACAAAACAAACCTAAGCAAAGTGTTAGACATAATAAAATAGTTCATATAATATGCTATCCCACAGTTGTGCCATTTTTTGGTCATTTTTGATCGTTTTTTTTTTAAACTTAAAGCAAAAAAATAAAATTTCAAAACAAGATAATAGATGAGTAACAGTAGTTAATACATTGCATATTGTTGTCTTTGAATTAGTTATTCAGGGCTGGGGATTTAGCTCAGTGGCATAAGTGCCTGCCTGGCAAGTGTGAAGTTGGGAGTTCAACTGTTACCAAAAAATATATACATAAAAATAAAAAATAAAATGAATTAGTTATTTAGAATACAAGATACAGGCATTTAATTGTCCAAACAGTATTAGCACAAATTTTTCTTTTTTTTTTTGGTACCGTGGATTGAACTCACAACCCCGTGCTTACCAGGTAAATGCTTTGCCACTAAACTATATCCTCAGCCCAAAACTTTTCAATGAACTAAGAAATTAGAAGTATATATAAACTATCATATATATATATATATATATATATATTTTTTTTTTTTTTTTTTTGTGAGGGGGAGTGGTTTTGCTTTTTCACTTTCTCCTTTCCCTCATCCTGGTCTCTCTTGAACAATTTTTCCCCCTTTCACAATATCTGTTGTATATTTTGGTCTTTTTTTGTTTTGTTTTTATTGGTACCGGGGATCGAACTCACGACCACCTGCTTGCAAGGCAGGTGCTTATGCCGCTGAGCTAAATCCCCAGTCCCTATTTTGGTCCTTATGTAACGGTTTCAGCTTTTCACACTATGGAGACAACATGATACTTATACATGTGAGTCTGGTTTATCTGACATATGAGTGTGGTCTGGTAATTAAGATTGGAATATTAACATCTTTGGGCTCGAATGTAGCTCAGTGGTAGAGCGTTTGCCTAAGTTGTGAGTCCTTAGGTTCAGTGTCCTCCATCTCCTAAGAAAAAAAAACCCCATCTTTTTACATAAAGTAGTTTTTTCTTTTGGTTATTTCTATTTTCTAGTAATGGGATTCTAGATCAAAGAAGATAGACATTTGAATTAAAATACTTAATTAAAAATAAAGGTTCAAGCTGGGCGTGGTGGCTCATGCCTGTAATCCCAGCACTCGGGAGGCTGAGGCAAGGAGGGTCATTGTGAGTTCAAGACCAGCCTGGGCTACAAAGTGAGCTTAAGGCCAGCCTGAACTGCATAGTGAGACTCTGTCTCAAAAAGACAAAAAAAAAAAAAAAGGTTCTATACTTAGTGGGCTCTCATTTTGTTTTGTTGTTTTTCAGTTGGTGCTGTTTTACATAGAAGCAGGCAGCCTGGTATAGTGATTAAAGATGAGTTCTAGGGCTGGGGATGTATGTAGCTCAGTGCCAGAGGACTTGCCCAGCACATGTGAGGCTTTGACTTCAGTACCCCATGTACTTCTACCTCCCCTAATTCTGATTTCTCTTTGTTTGAATGTTTTTGTGATAATGGTGAGCAAGTATGTTACATGCATGAGTACAGAGGTCTGATTGAATAAAGTTTTGATATCTTGACTTTTTAGATTGAGATTTAAAGCTGGGCGTGGTGGTGCTCACCTGTAATCCTAGTACTCGGGGAGGCTAAATCAGGAGGGTCACTGCAAGTTTGAGGTCAGGCTGGGCTATAGATTGAGTCCAGACCAGCTTTAATACATAGTGAGATCCTGTCTCAAAAAATAAAACAAATAAGTTGACTACACGAGTGCATGTGGTGCTGGGGATTGAACTCAGGGCCCATACTCGGAGCTACATTCCCAGCCCATTTTTAGTTTAGACAGGATCTTTCTGTTTGCATAGACTGGGCTTGCATTTGTGGTTTGCCTACTTTAGCCTCTCATAGTGCTGGGATTAGAGCTGTGTACTACCATGCCTGCCATTGTAGGTTTTTTCCCCCTCTTTGGGAGATACTGGAGATTGAACCCAGGACCTTTGCACTGAGCTACATGTGAAGCCCTTTTATGTTTTTTCTTTCCAGGTTAGGTCTCACTTAAATTGTATAGGTAAACTTGAACTTGGTATCCTCCTGCCTCAGCCTCCCAAAGTGCTGAGATTTCAGGCTTGTGCCCATAACTCTGCTTACTATACATATTTAAAGTAGTAGATTTGGTAAAATTTTTTTTTTTTTTTTTTTTCCTTTTTATCGGTACCGGGGATCAAACTCATGACTGCCTTCTTACAAGGCAGGTGCTTATGCCGCTGAGCTAAATCCCCAGCGCCAAGATTTGGTAAATTTTAATGTTACATTACTTTTCACCCATAAAGCCTGTCACCATAATCAAGATAGGAAACATATTTATTTTCTCTAAAAGTTTGAGTCCCTTGTAAATCTTTCCTCTTAATCACTATGGGTTTGACTTCTGTCACCATAAATGATTGTGCACCTTGGAGAACACAATATAAATTGAATTGTATAGTATGTACTCTGTGGATTCTTTAACTTGTCACAATTTTTGAGATTCACCTGTGTAGTCATTCCTGTGTTGTGTGTGTGTGTGTGTGACTGATTGGGGATTGAACCCAGGATCCCACACAAAAACGCCACCCCACCTGGCTCTGAGCCCTTTTAAGATTTCATTTTGAGACAGGATCTTGCTTGGGTGCCTAGGCTGTCCTCAACTTTTGATCTTCCTGCCTGAGTCTCCCAGGTAGTTAGGGTTGCAGGCTTACTAGCATGTGCCACCTTACCTGGGTTCTCATTTCTTTTTGTTGCTTAGTGGTATGCTGTTGTTTGGATATGTTGCAATTTGTTTCTGAATTTTCATCTCATGATGCTTGGTTAATATTTGAGTTATTTTCAGTTTTGGATAAAACTGCTATGAACTTTTGTATGAACATACTTTCTTTTCTTTGGATTGAGATTATGTGGCAGGAGCATACTTAATTTTTTTTTTTTTTTTTTTTTTTTTGTACCAGGGATCAAACTCACAACCTTATGCTTGCTAGGTAGGTGCTTATGCTGCTGAGCTAAATCCCCCCCCTCATACTTAACTTTTTAACAGGAAGCTTAAGTTTAGTGTTGAGTGATGCTAGATTGATTGTATTTCATATATAAGTAAAACAGACATAAACTGTTTTAATTGTATATTTTTGAAATGTATTTTAAAAATTTTGTTAGTACCTGTATGTCATAATGATTGTATTCCTTGGGTGGAGTTGGGTATGTGTATATAATACATCTTAATTTGTTTTCATCCTCTTACCCTTTCCCTGCCCTCTCTTTGCTCTGCCTATACCTCTCTGTCTGTTTTTGTTGGTTTTTTTGAGACAGGATCTTGCTGTGTAGCCCAGGTTGGACTAGAACTCATTGTGATCCTCCTGCCTCAGCCTCTCAAGTGCTGAGATTACAGCCATGCACCATCATAGCTGGTCTTCCTTCCAGCTCTTGAGCCATAGTATTACAGAACTTGTTCACAAAATATTGACTTCTAACCTTAATTCTGTCAAAGCTGGTTTTATAGCTGCTCTTTTCTCTTCCTCCATTCAAAATTGATTAAATTTTCATTGTGAAATATTTTGGTTTGTGGCCCTTTGAAATGGCACTTTAGGAATTTATTTTTGCATCCACTAACAAGACTGTAAATTTAAGCATACTTTTTGTTGGTGATACTCATTTCTTTTTGTACAGTATTTATGGTTTTTTTGGTATTTTATTTTATTTTAAAGAGAGTATTTTTTTTTTTAGGAACGTAACATTTCCTTAGTACCTCTAGTGAAGGTTATAGCAATTTATAAATATTTGCATAGGACTGAAGTCTTAATAGTATCTTTACTTTTCATGTGGACTAAACAGGGGTAAAAGGAGCCAACAGCAACTAAGTGGCATAACAAAACAGATTTTAAGAGTTAGCATATTAGCCGGGCATGGTGGCACACGCCTGCAGTCCCAGCACTCAGGAGGATTGTTGCAAGTTCAAGACTAGCCTGGGCTACAAAGTGAGCTCAAGGCCAGCCTGAACTGCACAGTGAGAAAAGACAAAAAAAA